AAAATTCTCATTCCTATAAAAATATGGTGAACATATAGTCTAAAAATTCCTTAAAATTTTACACCTTGTTTGATCCACATTCTTACAATTTTTTTTTTTCATAACTCATTTTTAACCATGCATTCTTTAATAAAATAATATTACGTGCAAATTCAAAATTTTTCTTTATTTTTTAACCATATATTTTCAATCAAATCACTATTTAAAATGCATTCCCCACTCAATAATGTGCATCAAACAATGTTTTAACTCCATTTTTCAACAATCACCTCAACAAAGTGTTTCATTTAAAATCTTGGTCCCTCTCAAGCAATAATATGCTATGTTTTCCTCGAGCAATAATACCTACCCATCTTTTGTGATTTAGTGTGTGCTTGATGGATATTATTGAAAAAATTATGTATTTTAAATAGTGATATGATGAGAAATATGTAGTTAAAAGGTAAGAAAAAGTTATTGATATGATAAAAAATATTCTTTTATTGAAGAATGTGTAGTTGAAAATAAATCTTGAAATAATATATTTTTGAAGAATGTATGTCAAACAGGGGCTCAAGAAGGATCACACATGCGCTCCATTAAGCCCCGCTCATTCACAGCATATTCAAGGGTATTACCGTGGCCGTGTGAGTCAACCACACATCTCAGTCCAAGGTTTTTTATTTGAATAATGCTCCTTGTACAAAAGTGGGTGACAAAATCAGATGACAAAATGACGTGGACGGTTGAGATGAAAGGAGCACCAATTGTGTGAACCCGTTTTCATTACCATTGTGTGAACTTTGTGACTGGGATTCGAATCTGAGGCGAAAGCACCGATGAATCTTCATTGTAGCACTCCGACGTAGAGGAACACAGCAAAAATTCTAGCATTGAAGGTAGCGAAAAAGTTGAGGCGAACTCACCGGCGTAGAGGAACCCATCAAAAATTTTAGCATTTATATAGTATCTTCTTTCTGAATGCTGTCAATGTTTTGTATCTCAATTTTTAACGACTGCAAATGTTACTCGGTACTACTTGTTCAGTTGCCTTGGAATTATGCAATTTGTATTGAACTTCGCCTCTTGCAATCAAGGTTTTTAGTTTTATTTTTAATCTGAACTGGACTATTGGCGATTCATGCTCTCATTGGAAGTTTAGTTAATTACACACGTCTTCTTTGTTATTTGTCTTGGCTTGTTTGCTTATATATGCAAATTGGCCAAACACAACCAGGCTAGTGAGTTTTCACTGATCTTTGGTTCAAATCTTCTTTCTTTAAGTTACAGATCTCACTGTATATTGTGTGTTGCAGGTCCAAATTTTGTCCAACACTTTAATGGTAATATTACTCGATGGAAGCGAGATTTTTCTACTGATTTTTTCCGTGGATACCGCGTTGATATTGATATGCGGAGCGGGCCAAATGCACAGCTGATTGACCGCCGTAGATGGGGATGATGCCGGAGGTGAGACTGTCGAATCTGAGTGGTCGCCGGATGTTAGTAGGCTACCTCAGGTTAACGCTCTGGGAGGAAGGAGATGGGTTGGAAGAGATGCCGGAGGTTAACGCGAAATTGGGATTTAAATTTTTTTTTTTTTTAATATTGCCACGTCACTTTATAACCCGGTTTTGTCAACCCTCTTCGTACGTATAGCGCGGTTGTTTTTATTTATAGTTCTTGGAAGTGGTATCTCTCTCGTCAGTTTGGTAAGGGTTTGTAATGATTAAAGTGGTTATATAATATTATCTTTACCCACTTGGAAATGAAATTTTACGGAAAGTATACTAAAGATTAAAGAGCACTGAACACAACCCAAAAATCAAAAACCAGTAAAGAAAAGTAGATGTGTCAAAATGAAAAAGATAAAGCAAAACATGACGAGGTGATATGTAGTTTTGTTCAGCCCTTCAACTGGTTGAACGATAAAAGAGTTTTTCTTCTTCTTCGGGATGTGATAAAGTTGAAGGAATCATATAATGGAGCCCATTGCAAATATGAAACCACTAAGTAATTGTGTTATTTGTGACACTTATTGAATAATAAAAGTTTAAGATTATAAGATCTTTATATTAAAAAAATGTTTCATAATATAAACATGATTTTCTTATTGTTCTGCTTTTATGTAAGGCTCTTTGTTTTTGTTTTCGAGTATGAAATTAATGGTGCATTCACACTCAGCTCATGTTTGGTTCGGATTAAAATCTGATTTTAATTCAAATCAAAATCAAACAATCAATATTAACTATATTTTTCATGGGTCCCACAACTTTTCAACCACACATTTCAACAACTTCCATCACAATCTACTAAAAATCAAATTTTAATCTCCACCAAACTCCCTCTTAATATAGTTTACACTTGATTAATGATATATACGATGATTACTTGGTGGCGGCTCAATCTTGAAGTTATTTCATCGAGTTAAATTAGGGGTCCCGAATATGAAAACTTGCATGTCACTTATTTTAGAATATATGTAAAAGTTGTTACACTAAATTGAACAAGATTACATAAGATAACAAAATAATACGCTATTATATACATAAATGTGCTACTTCTTACATATACTCGATGTACTTCTATCAAGAAGAACACGAACACAAGATTAGCAATATCTTTAATTCCCAAAATTGCTAACTAAAAACGATGACATATTGCAAGAGAATTCAATAATTTATAAACTCTAATAGCAAACAACTTAAGCCCATGTTTGATTCAACTTAAAAATTTATTAAAATTTTAAGTTAAAAATGAAATTAATTTTAACTACATATTTCATGAGAACAAATTTTCAACCACACATTCGATCAACTTTTATCAAAATTTACTAAGTCCCTATTTGACAACCATACTTTTTGGAAGAAAATAGCGTTGAATAGTAATTTTTAGGAGAATATGTGGTATAAAGTAGATATTTTCTTTTATTTAGGTGAAAAATATTTTATTGTGTGAATGTATTAAAATTTGGGTATGACCCGAATTCCCTTAGCAAATTCTAATTAAATTTCTATTGTTGAGAGTGAAAACTTGTGTTGGGCTTGAATACGAATTTGGAATGAAGAAAAACATTATTGGAAGGAATTTGAGTTGAAGATGAGGCGACTAGGCGCCTACCGCTGTAAATAAAACAACAAGACTGGAGCCGTGGCGCGGGGCCGCGACTCTCGTAGAGTGGCGCTGCGGCGTCACTTGTCTGTCCTCTTCATTATTTTGGTCTCATTTTTCATTTTGGACTCCTTTTTTTGCATTCTACTTCATATACAATTCTACTATTTGGGTTTGGACGTCCCTATTTGTTCCCTATATACACTTAGCTTTTCATTATGATTTAGTGAAAATTTAGAAATATTGTAAACACATAATTTTTGTATTCTTTCTCCATATTATAATAAAATCTCAATTCTTTACAAAACTATATTGTTCCCGTGATCATTTACTTCAAATTGTGACTTAATCTTTTATTTTTTCATAGCAAATCGGTATTAAAGCATTCCAGTGCACAACAGAATGTATGATTGAAAATAAGTATATGGAAAAGAGTTTGAAAAGTATGATTGTCAACAAGGGCTAAAAATCTGATTTTTATTTAAATCAAACATGAGCTAAAATAGCAATCAGTTAGACTTTTAACTTCCATTTAACAAAAATTATAAATTATTTAGAAATTGTCAAATTTTATTTTTAACTTCATAATTTGATTGACCCATAAATACTAATATACTATCCACTTATTCACAACTCATTTTATGTATTCATGAATTCTTCCAAAGAGGAGGCTTAATTTTTAAAATTAAAACAAAATCTAGGAAAGTAATCTAAACAAATAATAGTCCTTTTTAATCCAACAGTACTGGAGCTAAAATATATAAATAATAACTTAATTAATTAAGTAAATGAGTACATAATAATATCTACTTAATAGTCAGTTTTGTGCATGATCGATAAAAAAGAAATATTGTGTCTCCAATCCATATATAATGAATCCAAAATACCGGATTATATTATTATTATTTTTTGTTGTCGATCTTCCAGGTCATTTATTAGCATAATTAATCATTAAATTACAGGTCTCACAGGCCCCCACCTACAGGGGCGCCACTTGGCATCCCCCCCTCCCCCCCGGTTCATCCAGGTCCATTAGCCAATGGACGAATAGATTAATCCTTCCAAAGAATCTTTTGTTCTGAAGAAGAGTACATACACCTGCATGAAAATCAACTTGTGCATACAGATATACACTGATAAAGTAGCCCCAGGGCACATCTCCAAATGATAAAAGGGAAAAGTGAAAAAACTCTAATTTTACTTGAGGCTGTCGAGACAAGGATTCGAATCTTGAAATATGGATTTTGCCATTGGGTAAGTGCAAGTGTACAAGCAGTCTTCCACCCTATACCCTTGGAATCATAACCTGCGATTTACCTCCTTCACCAAGATCCAAGATAGGGCAGGTGTGGGCCGTAAAAAATGCAGCTCATCCTTTTTTTACACTGATGAAGTAAAATAAAAGGTGGCCTTGTTCTTCCTGGTATTGCGTGTTGTTAGAAGGGTTAGTGGGTGGCCCATAGGCCCCAAAAAGCCTTTTTGCGGGCCCCTCTCATCTTGTTAGTTAATGATCAGACAAAAGCAAGGAAGCTTCTCCTTCCTCGTTGTTTTCACAACACAATGCTGACACAGAATCTATTAAAGACCACAGCGCGACAGCGTCCCAGTGCCCACTGGATTATCTTACTATTTTTCACACTACAGATTTTGCCCTTTTGATTGTTTCTCATTCTTCACAAAAGCACTAGAAAATCTGAGTGTTTTATAATGGCTGCCCATGTAAAAATTTGGGAAGAATAGGGCTACTTTTGTGAGTTTGATATTAATAGTTCCACATTATCGTACAACCCAATCAACAGACTACAACAAAATCGAACGTTACAGTCCCTTCTTCCATTTTCTGCACACACACACACACACTCTCTCTCTCTTCCCCTCTTTACTTCCTCTCTCTCTAGGGCGTTTTCTGTATGGCACAAACGAGTCTACCTCCAGGATTTAGGTTCCATCCAACGGACGAGGAGCTTGTGGCTTACTATCTGGATAGGAAAATCAATGGTGGAAATATCGAGCTTGACATCATCCCAGAAGTTGATCTCTACAAATGTGAACCTTGGGATTTACCTGGTATGTAATACAGTGTTAGCCGGGATTGGTTTCATATGATTTGTCGAATTCTTGTTGTTTCTATTTTGATTGACGAGAATGCTGTCCACAGATAAGTCTTTCTTGCGAAGTAAAGATATGGAATGGTACTTTTATAGCCCCCGGGATCGGAAATACCCAAACGGATCGAGGACGAACCGGGCCACCCGGGAAGGATACTGGAAAGCTACTGGAAAAGACCGGAAAGTGCAGTCTCAGAAACGAGCTGTTGGCATGAAGAAGACACTGGTTTATTACAGAGGGAGAGCGCCTCATGGCATCAGAACCGACTGGGTAATGCACGAGTATCGACTCAATGAGTCCGCCTGTGGCCCTGCATCAAGTTTAAAGGTACAGTGCTTTCCCATTTTTCCTACAATTCCAATCATAATGTGATCAAATATATATCAAGCAAAATGACAATGTCGGTGCATGGAATTTAACCGAAATCCGTGCTCACAACAAATATTCCGTCGCTAGATCTGTCACTAATTTAAGTCTGAATTACATGAATAGTAGCGAGTGATTTTGGCAATGGTCGAAATTAGTCGCTGATAATATCGTCTAACCTATCGAAGAATCCGGTTTTCTAGTAGCTAGGGTTTTGACTCTAGAAGTAAACACTAATAAAAAATTGCGTCTTAGAATCAATCTGAAAATTTGCATTAGTGAAGTAATTACTCTCTCTTGTGGTACACGTAGAGTCTACTTTATCTAAAAGTTTAAGCAATCGTCGTTCCTTAATCTAATTGCAAGTTATTTTCATCCTGCAGGATTCTTGTGCATTATGCCGGGTTTTCAAGAAAAACATATATATACCCAAAATGAAAAATAATGAACACGGAAGGGCTTCGATGAAGGAGAACGACGAGCAATTTACAAGGGATGACACCAGCGGCACGGAAAATTCTCTTGAGAGAGAAGCCAATAGCGAAAATGCCCTGAAAAACTCCGAATATTATTCCAAATTACCATTATTGGCATCCTCTTCAGATCTCACTCAAGGGACACCAATTGCTACACGTTCAAACTATAATTCTCAAGCTCAGATTGCATTAGATGAAGTAAACAGTTCAAATGATTTTTATTCTTTCGACCCTGGAGACCTGTCAAGTTTCATTCAGGTACATTCTTATTCATGACTTAATTTCAAGAATTTATTTTACATGAAACTAGTATTCTAAGTAAATGAGTCAAAATTTTGTGTGAATAATATCTCTTATTGACAAATTTATAAAGCATATCATTCAATACATATTTTAGTTGGTCTGTAAAAGAGCACGTTTGATTTGCCTTGGGTTAAACTTGCAATGACATTCGGCTGGCTGAGGTCTTAATTTCTCCAGACATTCTTGAGTCTTGTCGAATCTCTGTTGAATTTTATTATTTGGTCACGTCTTCAGCGTATCGCTATTTTTTAAGTGGGGTTTCTCCCTTTCTAGAAAATCAAGAATTTTCGCGATGACAAGTGAAAATCTTGTAATTGGCCATAGAAATGGTCATCGTCGACGCCTTTTCACTATGGGAAGACCTCGAATAATTTGTTGTAACAAATATGTTTGTGTTCACACACGGAAAGTAAACTTAAGGACCTGTTTGAGCCACATTATTCTCAAATAATGTATTTTAGAATAGTGATTTGATAGATAATATGTAATTAAAAAATAAGATTTTTTTTTGAATTTTCGTGTAATGTTATTTTGTTAAAGAACGTGAAATTGAAAATAAGAGAAAAAATGTATTTTGGAAAAATGATCAAACAAGTGATTAACGTATAACTAGGCTTGAAATGGTCCACTAGAATGATCCCTTTGGGGTTCTCTTTTGATTTAAGTTAAAGTGACGAAAGTTTGAAGCCAATGAACTTAACATCTTTTGTTAAAGCATCCCTCTAAAAATCTCTAGACTGGGTCCAATGGCTTTCTTCACCATTCCCCATAACTTCTTTTGACTGGATAAAATGTACTCTTTTCTCCCTTGTTTTTTGCAATTCATGTGTTTGTTGAGAAAGAGAAATATTCGGTTGTCCTGAGTTGAAGCTAATGTACTGAATACTCGTTTGAAAAAATTAATTTTGAGAAAGAGAAATATTCGGTTGTCCTGAGTTGAAGCTAATGTACTGAATACTCGTTTGAAAAAATTAATTTTAAAATTCGTGTGCTCATTTTTTTGAATCTTAATAGAATTGAATTGTTCGTTTACGTTTAATGAACTCTGATACCATGTTAAAACTTAATATTTCATCTTAAAATTCAGTCTTGTTAAAAGGAGTAGTCAAATCCCTTATAAATTAGTTTGTATTTTCATCTTTATTAGACGTGTGATTTTATCCCTTAACAATATTAATTTTTTGGTGCAGGATGTTGGAATTCCAAATTACATAGGAATATTTCGTGAAACTCCCTATATTCCTTTAGATTTGGAAGATTTCCCAGAAATAAATTTTCCTGATATCACGACGTTGTCCAAATCTGAAACACTTGGCGAATTCGACAGGTACAAGGAGTACCTAGATGGATTCACGGCCTTAGGAGAAGTTCATTCTTTATGTTCTACGCGCGAGAACTCGAGTAATTCAAATTTTATGTGTTAAATAAAATCGATTAGCCTAAAATTATGCGTGTGATCATTGTGTTACCGAGGATATATCATATATGAAGGGATTTTTTTTTTATTTTTTATTTTTGCAGAGTTTGGCAATTTTATATTTTTTTTGCTAAGCATTGGCTGATTGGTTTTAGAGCGATTCTTTATTGGAAAAGCCTTTTACATTATATATATATATTCTGTAACAATCATCAATGTGATGAGATTTTATAATTATAAATATTATAATTTGAAATCAATTATATGTATTTTTTTTTATTTGATGTTCATGAAGTTACATCTTAACCAATCAGCTTTGGTCCATGTTTGAGCTCCATTTTTTCAAAACTTATTTTGAAGAATCGTGGTTTTGAGATTCACCACCCCTTCACTTCACAGTCCTCAAACTCCCAATTCAGTCATAGATGGAATCCCAAATTATAATGAACAAATCAAAATTCTGAAACCCCTTTCTTATCATTGACGCCCTATTCATTTCCTTTTATCATTTTAGGTTGGTTTTTTTTTCTCTCACGATCCTAAATTCAAATCGGCAAACCGAATTTCATTCAATCGAAGTTCTATCACCATAGCCAAAATCTCACCTCCGGTATATCGTTAACACGCTCGAAATTACAATAATTTGTACTGTAATTATTACGTCATTAACTCACACATTAAAAGGGTATATAAGGAACTGTAAAAAATAGGATTAATTGAAAAAATTCATGGTTTCAATTCGATTCGATAGGATGACGATTTTTTTCGTTCACCACTAATTATGGTCGGTGCAACACTTTTATTTTAGCACATGTTTATCTTTCACTCTTTCAAAATTCTTTTTTTTTTACATACTCGTTTTCAACAGCACATTCACATAATAAAATATTTTACACATAAACACAATTTTTTTCTATTTTTTAATTACACATTCTCCAAAAATTTACTGTTCAAAATAATGTTTTTCCAAAAAAAAGACCACCCAATAACGTACAATAGAAATGTAAAACATTACAGGGCACCCGAATTTAGATGGAATTTCATTTTAGTCACTCAATTTATTTATTTACTTTTCTCGAAACTCATACTGAAGTTTTAAGTTTCTTTCAACTTGGCCGCAAGTATTCATGTCTTTCAATTTGTAGAGTCATGTTTGCACTTATTTCAACATGATTTTTGTGTTAAAAAGTGGGAGTTTGCATTGTAAATATGAATATGAAAATTGTATGCGACTTTCACGTGACCTGAATCTAGAGGACAAAATTGTCAAACCACTTAATGTCCAACTTCATGTCATGCGAAAGTTGCTTGTGAGTTAATATCTATAGTGGTCGAATTCGTTACATAAGGCGATAGGGGATAAATTTTAATGGATTGAGGATTTGCTTTTAAATTTTAAATAAATCCACACCGGTAGAAAAGTTAGGAAGTGCCGTCCTAATTTCAATATTGGAAAAGTCTCGTAAATGAATGTATGAGTTTGAGTTTTTGCATTTTTGGGAAAATGGCAGCTGAAGTCTCCAACCCTTGACATGTGCTGCACATTGGTTCCCAATCTTCAAAATGTGGTGTATATATCCCTATCTTTTATTTACTTTAGCAACACTTATATCCCATTAGACAAATTTACACGGTTTCTGTGCATAAGTATGTTAGTACATTTGAGTCCCACGAATATGTGTATAAAAAATGGTTTGAACGATTGAAAAAATCNTAAACCTAGTATATATATATATATTCTGTAACAATCATCAATGTGATGAGATTTTATAATTATAAATATTATAATTTGAAATCAATTATATGTATTTTTTTTTATTTGATGTTCATGAAGTTACATCTTGACCAAATCAACTTAGGTCCATGTTTGAGCTCCATTTTTTCAAAACTTATTTTGAAGAATAGTGGTTTTGAGATTCACCACCCCTTCACTTCACAGTCCTCAAACTCCCAATTCAGTCATGGATGGAATCCCAAATTTTAATGAACAAATCAAAATTCTGAAACCCCTTTCTTGTCATTGACGCCCTATTCATTTCCTTTTATAATTTTAGGTTGGTTTTTTTTTCTCTCACGATCCTAAATTCAAATCGGCAAACCGAATTTCATTCAATCGAAGTTCTGTCACCATAGCCAAAATCTCACCTCCGGTATATCGTTAACATGCTCGAAATTACAATAATTTGTACTGTAATTATTACATCATTAACTCACACGTTAAAAGGGTATATAAGGAACGGTAAAAAATAGGATTAATTGAAAAAAATCATGGTTTCAATTCGATTCGATAGGATGACGATTTTTTTCGTTCACCACTAGTTATGGTCGGTGCAACACATTTATTTTAGCACATGTTTATCTTTCATTCTTTCAAAATTCTTTTTTTTTACATACTCGTTTTCAACAGCACATTCACATAATAAAATATTTTACACATAAACACAATTTTTTTCTACTTTTTAATTACACACTCCAAAAATTCACTGTTCAAAATAATGTTTTTCCAAAAAAAGACCACCCAATAACTTACAATAGAAATGTAAAACATTACAGGGCACCCGACTTTAGATGGAATTTCATTTTAGTCACTCAATTTATTTATTTACTTTTCTCGAAACTCATACTGAAGTTTTAAGTTTCTTTCAACTTGGCCGCAAGTATTCATGTCTTTCAATTTGTAGAGTCATGTTTACACTTATTTCAACATGATTTTTGTGTCAAAAAGTGGGGGTTTGCATTGTAAATATGAATATGAAAATTGTATGCGACTTTCACGTGACCTGAATCTAGAGGACAAAATTGTCAAACCACTTAATGTCCAACTTCATGTCATGCGAAAGTTGCTTGTGAGTTAATATCTATAGTGGTCGAATTCGTTACATAAGGCGATAGGGGATAAATTTTAATGGATTGAGGACTTGCTTTTAAATTTTAAATAAATCCACACCGGTAGAAAAGTTAGGAAGTGCCGTCCTAATTTCAATATTGGAAAAGTCTCGTAAATGAATGTATGAGTTTGAGTTTTTGCATTTTTGGGAAAATGGCAGCAGAAGTCTCCAACCCTTGACATGTGCAGCACATTGGTTCCCAATCTTCAAAATGTGGTATATATATCCCTATCTTTTATTTACTTTAGCAACACTTATATCCCATTAGGCAAATTTACACGGTTTCTGTGCATAAGTATGTTAGTACATTTGAGTCCCACGAATATGTGTATAAAAAATGGTTTGAACGATTGAAAAAATCTATAAATGATACAAAATAAGGGCTAAAAAGACACGTAATATTTTTTTATACACGTAATATTTTTTTATTCTTTGTTCTTTTCATTATTATTTTTTCTTTTGAAATCCAGGGTAAATTTGTCCTTATCATAAATTTTTGAGTATTTTAATTTAAAAAATTAACAATGTTTGGTGTACAATGATTTTGACATCATTGTTGAAGGCATGCCACATTATATGTTGTCATGAATAATTTTAAAAGCAATTCATCATTTTAATCAATACTTTATTGTCACAACCAACATCGTCAACAATGTTGTACAAATAACATAATTCTAAAAAAAGTGTAAAGTAGTCCACTAAGGACCATGAAAGTTTGAGAACTTCAATACTCCATTTTGAAGAATGGGTACCAAGATGAAACAAGCATAAACGTTTAGGGACCTCATTTGCTATTTTCCCTAAAAATGTGACTAAAATGAAGTTATGCCTAAAGTTTGACGGACCTCTCATGTTATTCTTTTACCCATTGACAAGTTAAATCAATCAATGACCACCTAACTTTACATTTAATGTCATTATAACCACCCAATTTGATTTTATTTTATCATAGTCACCCAACTTTATACTTAGTGTCACTTGACCATTTAATTTGGTTTTATTTCACTATAGTCACTCAATTTCATATAATGTTTGATCATGACAATTTATTTTCTTTTCACAATTTTCACAATTAATTCTTTAGCTTTTTATTTAAATATGAGGGTATATTCATCATTTCACAACTTTTTATTGAAGAATTAGATGAAAATGGATAGAAACGATAGTTTGCGCAATTAAATATGTAAACAATGATGAAAATGCAAAAAAAAAGGTATAATTTTTTTTATAATAGTGAAATGTAGGGATATTATGTACTAATTACCCTTTTAAATCAATCAATGGCCACCTAACTTTACATTTAATGTCATCATAACCACCCAATTTGATTTTATTTTATCATAGTCACCCAACTTTATACTTAGTGTCACCTGACCATTTAATTTGGTTTTATTTCACTATAGTCACTCAATTTCATATAATGTTTGATCATGACAATTTATTTTCTTTTCACAATTTTCACTAATTTTATTTTCACAATTAATTCTTTAGTTTTTTATTTAAATATGAGGGTATATTCATCATTTCACAACTTTTTATTGAAGAATTAGATGAAAATGGATAGAAACGATAGTTTGCGCAATTAAATATGTAAACAATGATGAAAATGCAAAAAAAAAGGTATAATTTTTTTTATAATAGTGAAATGTAGGGATATTATGTACTAATTACCCTTTTAATAATTTATTTGACTCATTTACGTTTTTCAAAAAAATTTGGGATTATGATTGCAATTAATTTTTTCTTTTTCCATTCCTTTTGTTTTATTTAAATAAAATGGTATATTTGTGATTTCACAATTTTTTAATTGAGAAAATGGATAAAAAAGGCATTTTGCGCAATGAAATGTGGAAATAAGGGTGAAAATGTCAATAAATGAAAGGCAATGACGTTTTCCAAAATAACAGTGAAAGGTGTGGACGTTATCTGCTAATTACCCTTTAAAATAACTTTTTATTTTATTTTATTTTTTTAAGTAACGGTTTTTTAAAATAATTTTTATTTTAGTTTAAAAACATTTTTTTAAAATAAGTTTTTATTTTATTATTATATTTTAAAAATTTATTATATATATATATATAATGCAAAATCATCGTTTTTACCTTACATCTTTTAAAATTAATGAAAATGACGAAAAAAAGTTGGATGATTATGGTGAAACGTTAAAAGAAGTTGGGTGATGATGATGAAATAAAATCAAATTAAGGGATCGTGGTAACACTAAATATATAGTTGGGTGATCATGATGAAATAAAATCAAATTGAATAATTATGATAACAATAAATATAAAGTTGGTGATAAAATTAATTAATGATTCAATCCAAATAAACCCTAATTATCTTTTTTCTCTCTCTCTTCTTTTCCACGAACTGGGTCCGAATTGCGTGACGCGGTTTTACCGTGTCCAATCTTCAAAATCTCTGCAGTATTAACTTGACTTCTAGAGAGAAGAATTGTTGTGTGGACTGCCGCCCTAATAATAGAGAAATATTGGGAAGAAATTTCCAAGTCAAAGAAGAAGAAAGAGCGTGAGATATATAACAAACCCTCATAATTCCCATTTCTCTCGATTGCTTATAAAAAGTATATTCTCAAATTCCAAAATTTGATCTCGTCCAGATTCAGAGCCTCTTTATTTATTAGTTTCCATATTTCTAATTGATCTATCATTAGTTTTTCACAATAATTTTTGCAAAGAAAGGGAAAATATATACGCTGAAGTAATGAACTCGAATGCTCCGTCAACGAGTGCCGGAGGACCTGGATCAGCCGACTCAACAGCGCCCAGAAGGAATTCCAAGCGACCCAAATGTATTTTTCTCTTCCTACACAATCTAGTTTTATCTTGATTATTCTTATTTATATTGAATGATATTTAAATTGGAAATTGATAGGTAATACGCAAACAATTGTCTTGAAAATTTAACTGGGTTTAAGGTTGGGGGCTTGTCTTTGAATCCTCGTTAATATGTATATCGCTGGAAAGTGTATTAAGCATGTTATTTTATGTTACAAAGGGTACTCGCACAATATTTAAGCATGTGGATAGTACTCGTGCATTCCTCGAAATATGTGGATGAAAAGTGGTTTGACTTTTATCATCTTTATAAACACTTGTCAAACATACTATGCTGCATAAATTTTCTCCAATTTTATAGGCATGTTTGCTGCCAACAGTAGTAAACTTGAGTTAAGTCGGATTATATCAGTATGGGTTTCCATTAAAGGCATAAATTAAGGCTTGGAAATTATTTTAGAATACAAAGCATGTTTGTTAACACAATGCAACGTGGACTAAATCGATTATTAATACGAATTTTAAATGGCAAACTTATTTGCCTTCGAGGTTCTGAAATAGTAAATTACAATGGCGACCCAAATGTATGTGTCTTTAGGCTTGTTTTTAAAGGATCATCTGAGCCTAGTTCCAGTGTTTCAGGGTCTGAGTAGTTCAATAGGTTGGGTTCTCGAAGCTCACATCTCAGAATTAGAAAGGATTTAAATCCAATAAAGCTTGGGGAGGGGAATTCTTAATGGATTCACAGGGACTGGCCAGTACTTCTCTTCCATCCAATCTTGTGGAACATGATCATACTCCTTTTCCTGAGTCTGGAATCAAAGAAACATTGATAGAGTGAGCGATGTAGTTAAAGACTTGAAGTGGACAGATGATTAATTAAGGTATAAGTGCATATGATCCATATAAAGATTGCCTGACCAATTCAGCCGCAGGCCATGATGTAGTTCTCCTATTGGTTTGTTGTCTATGACAAAGATTGTGCACTACTCTATGAGATATCAAGTTATACTTGTTGACATTGTTTTGGAATTTTCATGGAGTATACTTGTTTTTAGCTATGAAAGATCCTTCCCTCCTGCTTGAATGTCACTTTTAAAGGGGCTTAAAAGTTTTAGAAAGGACAGTGATGCTTACCAACTCATTACTAGTATCATCCGTAGGATGCAATTACCTATTTCTTAGGGGCATTTTCGAAATGTAAAAAACAATTGTTTGACTTACTAAAACATACTATTTATATGGGAACATTTCCAAACAGAATGCTCGGGCTTTCAATTTCGTTTGGAGGTTGCAATAGTGAGTAAAATATGGGAATATCAATTCAATACCTTTTTTCATTTTCTTAATTTATTGTGCAGCAATAATTCATGTGTATTTTGATAACAATTTGGTTTCTGATTGATTAAAGGATCTTTTTTTTTTTAAGAAAAAGAAGAAGCAAAAAAAGCACTACGAGCAAATTTTCGAGCTCTCAGAAAATGAGTTTCTAGAAGGTTAGTTGAACTTACTGAAAAAAGCCTGAAAGTAAATCTTTCACATAGGTAAAACAACTTAATCAATTTGTGGAATGTTAATAGCTAAGGTTGGGGCACATTTATTTTATTTATCTATGTCCTTGTATTTTTAAAATTGAAATCGATGCTATAGATTAGAGAATTGAGTATGGGGATTAGATGATTTTGTTGGGTGAATTTGGGATTTGTCTGGTGAATTTGTATTAAAAATAAAATTGCAAGGAGGCACACGAAGGTGTCTCCTTGCGTGGTATGGAGACACGTTCTCGTGTCTCCGCACAGAGGCACAGGGAAGCACCTCCGTGTGCACACGGAGACACCTCGTGTGCGCACGGAGGCACTTCCTTGCGCACATGGAGGCTCATCGTGTGCGCACGAAAGTGCCTTCGTCCAAATTTTGTTTTTTTTATAACTCCATGGCCCCTTATGCCTCTGTGAACTAGAAATTATAAAATAGTAAAATAAAAAAAGAAAGAGAGAGAGAATTAGTAACGGCAGGAGAACTCTGAGGGTGAGTTTTCATTCGACGGTTTATGAGTTTTGTCGTGGCAATTGCATTTTATATCAATGTTTTGGTATAATTTTAAAATCTGATATTTGATAACTATTGATTAATCATATCAGGTTCCAAAACGGATGGAACAGCCCATTTATGTCTATTATCAGCTTGACAATTTCTACCAGAATCACCGCAGGTACCTTTAATGTCTCTATATTCTGAGCACTACATTGGAAAAAATATTTAACTGCTTCATTGATGGAATATTTTGAATTCCTACCTCTGTGGACAAGTGGAAGTGATTCCTTGTTTTTGTTATAGATATAGAACTCTTCTATAAGATAAATGATTCCACTGGAAAATTAATTTTACTCTTTTCTTCTGGTATCTTGTAATAGTTGTCTATTAGAAATCTTTTGTAAATTTGCTAGGAAATCTTAATTAATTCATTATTGTTTTTCTTTTTCAAATTATGTGGCTGATATCTATGCCCTTCCCAGGTATGTGAAGAGCCGAAGTGATCAGCAATTGAGAAATTCAGGAGATGAGAATGACACAAGTGGCTGTAAGCCTGAAAATACTGCCCACGGGATGCCAATTGTACCTTGTGGTCTTATAGCCTGGAGCCTGTTCAATGATACTTATGGCTTCACTCGCAACAACCAGTCGGTGACCATAAACAAGAGAGAGATCTCGTGGAAGAGTGATAGAGATCACAAATTTGGCAAAAATGTCTACCCAAGGAACTTTCAAAATAATACTCTAGTCGGTGGAGCACGCCTCGATGCAAATAAATCAGTAAGCCTCCAATCATACTTAATCACAGATAAATAATCACCGTTCTCATGCATGATATTTACCCTTGGTCATGATTTATCGACATATGAGTTTATCGGCTAAGGATAATGATATACTTGTTTATTTATTTAACATGTAACCATATATTACTATATGAAAATAATTTGCTATTATGTTGCTGTGTTCGAAAATATGAAGATGTTTTTCTTACCTTATCATAATATTTTTTTGTGGTTGGACATGCTTATTACTATATGAAAATAATTTGGTATTATGTTGCTGTGTTCGAAAATATGAAGATGGTTTTCTTACCTTATCATAATATTTTTGTGTGGTTGGACATGCTTCAATTTTTCTTTTTGGAACACAAATTAAGTTAAAAGAACATAATAAACAGGAAACTAACACGCTTCGACTGTTATAGACTCGTTATCTGATTTCTTTTTGAGAGATCTTCTGTAAAGAAGAAGAGTGAGCTGGATAGTTGGTATTGAATTTGTTGCTTTGGCAGTACATATGCTTGCCGCTTGTACTGATACACTCATCTTGAGCGGTATTGCAAACCTGTCTCAAAGACACTCTGAAGTGACACGATGCAAGATCATGCTTAAGTTTGTTATTGATGTTACATGGCTAGGATAACTGATATGTATAAATTTTTCAGTCTTACTATTTATTTTTATCGGTTTTCTTTCTGGACCAGGCTAATTTCATCAGTTACTAATATATAATCATTTAACAGTTGAGTGAGCAGGAGGACCTTATTGTTTGGATGCGAACTGCAGCGCTTCCAACTTTCAGAAAACTGTACGGGAAAATAGAGATGGATCTTGAGGCCGGTGATGTCATTAATGTGGAGTTGCAAAATAATTATAATACCTATAGTTTCGATGGCAAGAAGAAACTTGTCCTTTCTACCACCAGCTGGCTTGGAGGGAAGAATGACTTTCTTGGTATTGCATATCTTGTAGTGGGTGGATTGTGCTTCTTTCTCGCGATCGTTTTCACAATTATCTATCTAGTTAAGCCAAGGTACGGTTTATTGCCCCCATTGTTTTCTCGGCATATAGTATTTTTGTGGAAGTATCTTTTTTGAGAAATAAAACCTTCATTGTCATTAGTTGACAACTATAATTTGGTCTCACATGCCACCACGTGTTCTCACGACGTGCCAGATTATCCAAACTAACTGTAATGTTGGAGGATCCTCCAGCACTTCTGAATGCAATCTTTTCAAATGAGCGCGCACAGTACTCTGTGTTTGCGTTCTAGACTGAGCCTTTGCTGGGACCTTTCTCATCTGCGGTTCCTAATAATACGTCGAATTTAACTAGCATGAACCTATTCCTCTTTAGAAAAATGTCATTGATATGATGATTTCTTTTTTCAGGCAACTTGGAGACCCATCTTATTTGTCATGGAACCGCAACGCAGGAGGTCACTAAGTAAGAACCCTTGAAAGAGTGTTCAAGTGGATGTTTGGGACTTGCGCTCGTTCCTGTTGAGTTTCAAGAGGTGTATGTATAGACCTCAGCACATGGTGTTCTAAATGTTTCGGACTTTAGTTTTGTATTGAAATAGTCGACATATGTAATGCATTTTGTTGTAAATTTGATTACGGTTTTTGCACATATAATAGACAATATTTCTTTTCAGTAATAATATAAATTATCCCCTATCAAAAAAATAAATAAATTATCCAGCTTCCCATGAAACCATGTGGTATTCTTGGGCGTGGCTCAAGTTTGTAATTTTATTTGAGAGAAGTTTGTGACTTTTTTAGATGAGTCCCATGCTCGAGCATTGCAATGTATGTCACATGCCCTTTTATATATGAATGAGTATCGTTAATAATGTACATTAAACATGTTTTAAAAGTACATTTAATTATCAAGGATTTTTTTTTATCTGTTCGAGTTGACCAGCTCATTTATGCATACGTCTGTTGCAGATGATCGACTATAAATCATCTTTACTGTAGTTTGAACATGTGATCGACGTATAATAATATAACAGAATAATATATACAAACCATGCTTTAACGAAATGCTACTTGTCGTCTTGTTCAGGTACGAATACAAATGGACGTATTACCAGTCCAACCGTTGCTATTCATATTAACTGTACTTACCCGGAGATCATTTTTCACTGCTTCGTGGTTGAGCGTGGGCTTCATATTAATTTTTCTGTATTAATATTATTATTTTAATTCTTACTGCAGACATGGCTTCATCGACATTGCTATTCCACCAGCTCGAGGTTGAATTGATCCCGTCCTCAATTTAAGTTTCTTAATTTTGAATTTTTTTAATTACTGAAAAGTTTCATGTAATTGTCAAATGTTGGAAAAGCAGACAGCGGAGCCATTTTTCCTGTTTGCAGGCCCCAATGTGATTGAATCAGAGGATCACGTTCTTTTTATGGCTAAGAATATCAAGGTCATCACTTCTAAGTATTACCATGACTCTAATCTTCGCGTGCTATGATGCAATTTATGTTGGAAGTAAAATTGTTTAGATTAATGGCATTTTAAAAATTTTGCTATTTCTAGGCTTGGGTTGCCATTGGTTTTTAAGTCGAGCTTTGATAAAGCTAATAGGTCATCCTCTAAGTTGTTTCGCGGACCTGGCTTGGAGGAAGGCTTAAAGGTATTATTGGTATTACGGGTTTAAATACATGCACTACTGTGATTCTTAATGTTATGAAACTGTAGTTGTGTTTATTTATAAGAAATTTGAGAAGTTTTCTTATTATTAATTATATGTGCGGTCCTATTTAGTTGTATGTTGCAGTGTTATGTGATATTGCTTTAAATGGGAAGTCAATTACAAAGTTTTACAATGGGTAAGCCTGTTTGATGCCAATAAATGTCCATTCATTTGTGTTTCTCCTTTTTTCGTAGCTCCTTGAAAGGATGAAGACAACATATGATCTTCCTGTAGTCACTGATGTGCACGAGACAAATCGTTGTACCCTATTGTAAAGGCTGCTCTTCGTGTTATGTACAACTTCTTCTTAAAATATTATTGATTACCAAACAAGTCTCCAATGATAGTAGAACTATGAAATTGTTTTCCGGCCATTTAAATTATTAAATTTAGTATCATGTTCTCAGATTTTGTGCAAACAGTGACCCATTCTATGAATCTGGAGAAAAGTCCTTATTCTTTTGTCTATACCAAGATCTGAGACAAGCAATTCTGTCTCCCAAAAGTATTTTATGGCCACGATAAAGTGAATATTAGTCATCCAGTGTTCTCTTGTATGATGATGCGCTCTTCTAATTCATATTTGAGCTTTTGTGATGTATCTTGCCTTCTAACAAAGCCATTGGTTCTCAGTGCCACTTTCCCAGACTTGAAGCTGATGAGTTAAAATCTTAAACCTTATATGCCATAAGTAACCCACACACTATTTGGCTCCTTGATGGTCATCTTGGAAAAATATACTGCTCCATTTTTGAGTAGGTAAAGGCGATGGTGTTCGGTGGCTTTGGAACAGCATTCTTGTGTCCCAACATTTGTATTGGTTGATGCCTAGGCGAATTGAAGATGTGGTGTGGGCATGGATGAGGAAATTTCGTGATAAGAATAGTAGGATTGTATGAGATCTTATTCCGGGATGCATTGTATGGTGCATGTGGAGAAAAAGGAACAGCCGCTGTTTTGAAAANTGTTTTGAAGACCAATCAAGAACAATAGAGCATTTCAGAGAATTATTTTATCTGACTTTGTATAATTGGTTTAATACTGTGGCTAATAATCATATAGAAGGGTTGCCTAATTTCATGTCGTTCCTGTATTGTTTAAATTGATAATATATTTTCCATGTATTATCTCTTGATTTATAAATAAATTCTCTAATTAATTATCAAAAAAATAAAAATAAAAGAGTAGGTAAAGAGAATGGGGAAACACAAGTGGCCTACACCAGAATTGCATGTAACTCAGAAACCTGCTGGTCTGGAATAATTATATATATATTTTTAACTGAAACTGGCACTTAGGCTGTGCACCCCCTCCAACTTTTTATACATGTTTTTATTTTCCTTTTGATTAGTAGTTAGATCATTCAATATTATGTCATTGAAAGTTATGCATGTACAACTAGATTCAACTTAGCAACAGCTATGTTTCATCTCTGGACTATAATAAGTGATTTTTCGCAGTGCGAAGCAGTTGGCAGGATTGCAGACATAATTCAGATTCCTGCTTCCTTATGCTGGCAGGTTAGATAGCTATAACCAAACTAGCCTTACTTGAATGTGCTCTTTAAATATGAAATCCATTCTTTTAAGCAGGGACAGATCTAGGACTAGATTACGGGTCGGGCTAATACGTAAAAACAAAATAAATTACACAAGCCCCCTGGATCCGTCAGTGCTTTTAAGTTATTTCTGGGGGCTGCTTACATATATTGATTTGGTCATTTTTTGGAATGAAGACAGATCTGCTTGTTGCAGCTACCAAGACGGGGAAATTTATTAATATAAAGAAAGGCCAATTTTGTGCTCCTTCTGTAGGCATTTGATCTTTTTCTTTTTCCTATATATAATATAATTTTTTTCGTTCCACATGCTAATTATGTCCATTTCCGACCCAAAATTATCGTCAATTTGTGTCTTCTAAAATGATAATCGATTTGGTTTTGCAGGTCATGGTAAATTCTGCTGAAAAGATTAGGTTGGCTGGAAATCAAAATGTTATGGTTTGTGAGAGAGGAACAATGTTTGGCTATAGTAAGTTCTCCTAGCTTCCATCTTAATTGTATCCAACAAAGTTTCAAGTAAATTCTAGATAGTAATTCACTATTAGTAAATGAGAAATTGATTGTTTTCAAACTTTAAAGTTGTTGTTCCAAACTATTATTTTGGACCCCTATAAAGCCATGTGAAATTTACAAAAGCGAGAAATCTTATATCTTTTTTGCATAGTCTTTATATTACCATAAGCTTCAAAGCTTTATTCCCATTACATTGGAACCAAGCTACACATTTATGAGTGGTATAAGAGTGTTTGGAAGGGCTTTTGTAAAGCTCAAAAGCACTTCTTGAAGGGTAAAATTTATTTTGATTAAAACAAAGGCTGTTTGGTTAATGTCAATAAGCACTTTATGACAAAAGGCCAGCTTAAAAAAGCTATTTTGGAGAAGCTCAATATTTAAGCTTCTCTAAAAAGCTCTAATTTAGCTTTTACAGGAACTTGATGAAGTTTTTAAATTAATAAAATCTTCAAACATATATCAAAAATAAAAATAAAATAAAAAGAATTAACTCCTATCCCAATTCATCTTCACCGTGGACGTTCTCTCTCTCTCTCTAAGTTATTATTATAACACTTGATGGTATAATAAATATTTTTATGTTGAAATTGCTTTCATGAATGGATGTGTATTATGGCTACCTATGAATATTGATAAATTCATGCTTCCGATGTTATAAATCTTTGATTTGAATACTGTTGCTTATGGCTTGTCTGTCTTGTATCCACTGCCAATGTTCGCATCCACAAACATGGTCACTAAAAGATAAAATCCTATAGATGATATGCACTTGTTTTTACAGTATTTATATTTGGATATGACTTCCCCGTTAATAAAACAAGAAATTTACATGATTTCTTCCGATTAAGCCCCTGTTTGAGCCACATTAAAATTTTTATTCTCATTCTTCTACTCATTTTCAACCACACATTCATCAATAAAATAATATTTTCTGTCATATCAATAACTTTTCATTCTTTTTCAACCATACATTCTATATCAATCTACTATTCCAAAATACATTTTTCTAAAATAATGTGGCTCAAACACACCCTAAAATTATAATATTTTTTTTTTTTGAAAGAAAGAAATTATGTGTATGAAGTGAATATATGTTGGTATGTTAACTTAGGTAATAGAAATTAAAATTACAAAAAATGCATGTCATTTAAATAAATTAATTTTAAATAATAGGATGTGTACTAAAATAATTGTGCCACGATAATTTAATTAAAATATTAATTTATTTATGAAAGAAAAAATTATGAGATATACAGGAAATAATTAATGTTTTGTTAAATAAATATTTAGTTTTTTTTAATTAAATAAATATGTAGTTTATACTAAGGCACTTTTATGGTCATGTTGCCTAACATTTAAGCGTCCGTTTGAGCCCCCTTTTTTTCCCAATTTTTCTCATTTTCCTTGGTTTTTGGACAGCTTCAACAGTTGCATGACTGATTATTTGCCTGACTTCGTACAGCTTTTTCTACATTTGGCAGACAAATTTTGAATATGCCGAATCTGCCCTTTTTTTACTTGTTTTTGAAATTAG